TCTCCAGTCCCTTGTGGGTGCTCTCCCATTTATCTCCCGCTTGTGCCCCGGGTGCTCTGGCTGCATGATTTCACACTTGTCTCCCATATGTCTCCCACTTGTGCCTCTAGGGTGCTTTGGCCACATGATTTTTACACTTGTCCTTTATTTTTGTTGCCTCCAGTTCGCTGTGGGTGCTTTGGCCGCATTTTTTTACACTTGTCTCCCGCAATGATTTGGTGCCTGACACCTACATTGCCAAGACCAATTCGCTAATTAGTTTGGACTTGGACCAAACAAACTGTTTGGGGTCAACGCTGGTATAATTTTTTGCAGTTTCTTTCTTAGTCCAGATATGTTGTTTCATGATGCTTTCACTTTTTGATTCTTCGACTGGGTATTCCCCAGATACCGGTGCACAGAGTCATCGAAGAATTGGTGAATGTGGGTGCTTTTCCCAGGCCCCTTTGAGCAGCACAGTCTTCGAGCTCCTTGGCGGAGAGAATTCATTCAGGGTGTTTTCGGTGCCGTTGCTTCGCTGGTGCTTGGGGGACGTGGGATCCAGACCTCGCGGTTCGAAAGATATCGCAAGGGTGCAGATCTTGGCCAATGTTGGATGAAACCATCAGTATCCCATCAGATCCCATCACGCCCAACAAGAGCATGACATCACTACCCTCTTGTTGTATTGGGTCAGAAAATCGATGGCAACGAACGCAGCAGAGCCTCCGCAGTCCAATTGAACGGCCGCGAGGGTCGCCTTCATCCTGGGTCTTTGGAGCGCCGAGGTGGGTGCCCAGCAAGCCACTGGTGGGTTTGGAGAGTGGAGGTTCACCCACGATTTGTTGGACAAGACACACATGTTTTATTTGATTTGATATACTTGGATGGAGGATATGACATTGTTTGTAACATGATGCATGTAACATGTGTATACATGTGTCGATTTTCTTGTGTTTTGTGTGTTTGTGCAGCATGGCTTGTTCCGGACAAGAGTGACCATCGTGACCCGAGAGATCTCGTGCACATGAGCTCCCGGCTGCGCGAGAAGAAAACATTTGCTAGAAGTTGGGGAATCCAGCCCAAAGTCGCGCATCGGCGTATGTCGTCAATCTCATACCCTCACCATTCTTCATCATTCTTCATTTCCCCCCTGCGAACTCCATCCAGGTCGACGTTCTCATCCTTGCGCCCGAGCTCACCTGCCGCGACATTCGCAATTGTGCTTCTGTACCTGGACATCCGTTTCCCTCTGCAGAGGAGCCACGGTCGCAAGAAGCTTTCTGACGTGCCTTTTCTTGGGAGGGTGTAAGTACGTGTAAGCATACACCGAGCAAAAGCGTTTATATGTACGCTATTGACGTTGGCTTTATAAAATATGTAAAGTGCATTTGATGGTAAAGGAAAACAGTTCTGGCCCTTTTCTGAAAGGTTCTCCGGGAATAAAACATTTTCAGGTTTGTGTATTGTAATGATCCAAACCAGCAACTCCTTTGGTTAGTTTCTTGCTTGGGTACCAACATTATTTAGCAGCGCCATGCAGCGGGTCAAGCTGGGAGGCTCTCGACTTAGCCAAAGCATACCATGCAGACCGAGGAGGATTAACCCACCGAGACCGTCGGCCCCCTAGGTGAGTGTCTTCGAGAGCCGTGGCTGCCGCCTGTCGCAAACCACGGCGGAGCCTCGCACAGAGTTCCACTTGAGGTTTCAGGCGGAGAACCGCGCGAGTCTGCCAGGCTGGAGAAGATCTCAAGTCCGTAGAAGATGTCATGGCATGTCATGGCTCGACATGGTTTTTCCATCGCGCTGCGGCCAATAGTGAGTGTCAGACCCACTGGGAGGTACTAAAGGAATCCTTACCATGACTTTGACATGGGCCACGCGCACAGAGTTTGTGGCATCGCCTTCAGCGTGCCCGCGGGGAGAAGATGCACAGACCGTCGCCGACAAGTGTTGGCCGTGAAAGCACCGGAAGCAGATGTCCGGAACATGAACGGGTACCAATTACAGATGGCCTATAACATACGAAGGCAACAAACTCAAAAATGATAAACATTAAGTTAGACAAACTCAACCAAACCTGACAAAACTATATAGATCTATAGTATATAGATCTAAATGTGGCGGATACTCGTCCACAGTGTTGCTCTTCCTGACTCGACTCTTCCTGACTACCAACAAACATGCCTAGTAATTATAGGTGTTGACACCAAGCCCGGATACGAGTGCAAGTCAAAGAGTGGTGTGTTTGTGTGTTTGGGGCAGTTTGTTAATGATAGGTTCACGCTATGTTAACCCATCTAACATCAATCTAACATCAATACATTCCTGTGGAGAAGTGTATTCTTTGCCAGGTACTCTATTGTTCAACCATTTGGCGGTGGCATTGCAAATGCAAACGCTGGAGCCACTTTGGCTTTGGCGGTTCCAAGCTCAGTGACACCCTCAGTCTTCGATCTCAACGTTTCATGTGGATTTCCGCTTATCAACAGCTCATCACGGTTTGGCCGTAAGATGCCGCGTTTTGCGCGTTTCACATCGTTTCACTGTACTGCAGAATGTGCAGTAGTTGCTACCGCAGTGTTCCCATGCAGCCTAGATCACAAGCCACTGTGTTTCAAACATGGCAGTTGGCTCCTGAAACCCAAGTTTGCTCATAATTCAAAGTTTGAAACGCACATATCCCTTTTCAAGGGCTCCAAATAAGCGCCAGTCGCAAGAGTCCGGATTGAAGATGATTGAAGTCTATTTTGGGCAGCTTTGTTTGATTTGGCGCTCACTCCAGAACTTGATCTCTCAGTTTACCACCGTATTTGCTCAAAGTCTCCAAAGCTCGCCCAATCTCCGGTTCCCTAGTCCAGACGATGCCAAAAGGGTTTCACTTCCTTTGGACCAGCGAAGAGCATCTTTGCTTCACAATCCATCTCGTCACTGAGGTGGGCAGCCATTTATATTCATTCAATTCATTCTTTTGAAGCTAAAGTAGTTATTCCAATAGTCTACGACGTTGCGGCATGTTTTTTGTTTGTCCAGCATCAGTATTCGCTGGTGAACGAGATAGGGCCCCCACATAAACGATATACTTTGTTTTGATTACACTAAAGTAGGCCGAACGAGATACTGTGATTTACTACTGTATTGAAGTGGTCTGAAAGAGATACTGTGACATGACCTTGTACTTGAGTAGTCTATATATATAAAGGAGATAGGGCCCCCACATGATCGATAGTCAGTCTATTTGAGTAGTTTAGTAATGAATACATGCCGTCGCTCAGGTCTCGCCCTTGGTCATTTCCTTTCCAACCTTCGCAGAGACTTACTCGGCATGATGGGCGCTCAGCTGTTTCGACCTATATACAAATATTACTATAGATTCACACATTTACTTTAGTCGAAGTTGCCTTACGCAGTAGCTCATTGCATTCCAAAACACTGCACACCGGCCAACCCAAAATGTGTTTGACGTTGGGGACACAAAGAGGTTTTGTCAGACACTTATACCTAAATATAAATACACCACGAGTCTCGTTCCCGGACATGTCCCATTCTCATTTCAGCGCTGTCCCTTTGAAAGGGATCAAGGCACAACAAATGCTTACGTACCATGCTGCACATAACTGCTCCTTGTCCAATAGAAAGTCATGTCATTGATATTCACAGTTATTGATGTTTGTTGACCATTTGACTCAAATCTTCCAGTGATTGCTTTTAAACATACGCAGCACATGCACCAATCAATCAGTCTAAACTCATGAGAACTCGGAGGTCAAGAGGACATGCACCTCCAGCTTTCCTTGATGAGGTGCCGAAAGTCTCACGACTTTTCGCTTTTCATTCCAATCAATGAGTTCTCCTCAACAGCCGCGGCGGTGATAGGTGACGTGTAAAGTGTCAATGTTTCTTGACCAACATGGCTGGCTCAAGAGTGTTGTAGCTTTGCAAGTCTTAGAGCCCAATTGTCATGGGAACTGGACCGATACCTGTGGTGCTCCAGTCGCCTTCTCGATGCTGTGGGGAGTCAACATGAGTCGTGCACAACCTCATAATCCAACTCAATTTGTTGCCAGAACATGCCAGAACACACCGGAGTCCTACGGCACTTTGGGTTGAAATCACCCAACACATCTCATGTTTTAAATTGTACCACAAGCATCTCGCTGAATTCGTCGTTCAGAAGCCGTTTTCGTGCCATGAATCCTGGCAACATTTCCTCTTGGTTGAGTAGATGGAGACAGTATGGGATCATTGGCATTCTCGTCGGGGGCCTCCGATTTGTCGCAGATCTGGCATGCGGCGGACATGGGGACAGGTCGGACCGGAAACAGGGGCTCGATTGACATATATAAAGAAGAAAACGAGAATCCATTCTGGAACCGGAGATCAGGGCTATTCCATGCTATTCCTGATGTAGGAATCAGGCCCAAGTTGCAAATGGGACTCCCTTTTTTGCAGGTCCTGCTGTGCGTCGGTGTCAGAGCATGAAAGCCAAACTACCCAAGTTCACATGGTCCGAGCCACCGGAGCCGGCGGCCCGTCTCCATGCGCCCACCGTTTAATATCGACATATATCAATCTCAATATGTATATCTATGTCTATGTCTATGCCCATATCTATCTATTTGTTTGTTTGTCAGTCCGTCAGTCAGTCTGTCTGTGAACATTCCCAGTGGGTGGGTGACCAGGTGCGTCTATAGAGGGGCTTCTCCTCCAAGCCCATTGGAGTCAACTTGATCATCCGAGCCATAGATCCAGGAAAATGTCCACGACCCAAATAGCCCCCAGCTGTGACTCTGGATAGTTTCGTGAGGATACTTGCCTACAGATACTTGACCATCCAGTCTAGACTTAGTCCAACGATCTTTCGTCGGTCCACGGTGACTCCACCTTTTCGGGTCGAATTGAGGGGTCCTTGCTCATGGTGAATGTGGCCACCGTGGCCCTGTTTTGGTATGACAAGCACCAGGTGCCTTGACACGGAACCAAACGGAGGGAATTTGGGTGAGAAATCTCCTCAGCTGGGCCCGTGGCAAGGGGCGAGGAATGCAATCGTGGTGCACCAAAGGATCCAAAGGATCCGAATCCGATTGTTCTTGCCAAGGTCAAAAGATGTCAACAGTTTGAGGCACACAGAGGCAACACTTGGTTGACAAAATCTACTGGTAGTTGCTGTTCCATGCTGTTCCCAAAATCTTCAAGCAGCGTGATGTCACAGGTTCGGCCCCCGCTTCGCGGTCGAAGCCGCTCGTACAGAGTAAAGGGAAAACAGACACACACACAGAGAGAGAGAGAGAGAGACACACATAGACATCCATCCATGCATACAGACATACATACATCCAGACATACATGAGCCGCTCTAAAAACCTGTCTTTGCATCTTAAGTAAGGACCTTGTCATATCGAATTCCGCGTAAGCAAAACCCTGGGTTGCGTAAGATTGCGTAGGCATTTCGCGTAAGCATTTAGGAAGTTTGCTCTGCGTAAGCAAAAGTGAGGGCCGCGTAAGCAGCGCGTAAGGCCTCGCGCAAGGAAAGTGATACGACACAGGGAGTGACTCCAGGTTTTTAGAGTGGCTCACATGGGAAAAGTGTGTCATTTGCACCCTACCGGCTCGGCAGCAACCTTCGCTCGCCGAGCCGGGAACTAGCAACTCTCGGAGCCGGGAGGAAATGTTAACCGGGCTCAAGCGTGAAGAAGCGCTTCGCTATGGGCCTATCTAACCACCAGCCTTTTCACCGAGGGTTCTGTCTCGGCGCGTCTGTCTCGGTCTCGGTCTGTCTCGGTCTCGGCCTGTCTGTCTCGGTCTGTCTGTTTCGGTCAGTCTGTCTTGGTCGGTCTGTCTCGATCTATCTGTCTCGGTCCGTCTGTCTTGGTCGGTCTGTCTCAGTCTGCCCGTCTCGGTCTGTCAGTCTGTGTCTCGCTCGGGCAGGACATGACCCAAGATATCAATAGTGCAGTGTCCCCCGGGCTGCACATACGACCGCGATGTCGATAACGCCTTCTCCCCCGGCCGGCATAGCCGGCATCGTCAACGTCCATTTTCCAAAAACATTGAAAAGCACTGCATTTACCGCGAGCGAATACTAGCAGACTTCTTCCGACTGCTGTTGCCACAAGCCTCCACTACACCCTCGGCACCTTCGGTGCGGGCGGACTTAGCTTATTAAAAACTACCGGCGCAGAGCTCTGTTTTTTCCACTCCACGACGATCCAGGGGGATCATGAGGGAGCAATCTTGGGTGAAGTTCTCGAAGTGGTCGGGTCTCAGAGAACTCCCCGAAGTTCGGTGGGGACTTGAATGGATTTGAATCAATTTGTTTTTCATCTCCACCAGCAAGTGTTTCATATGGGGCTGTTTTTTGCTGAACGTGTCCAGTTTACGTAGGGCTGGGATATTCGACCGAAGCATACCCGGAAGCATACCCTGTGAAAATTATATTACTGTCGTCTTCACACTGCGCGAAGCATACCATAGTCAAAAATCCCGGCCTGGGAACGTCAACATCGTCAACAAACATACAAACCGTTTGCGATTGAGGTGTTCGGTGTTCGGTGTATTTCCACTGACCCTTAAGTTCCTCTCCACCACCATTCAGAGTTTCTGTTTGTGCGAAGGCCAAGACTGGTGGTTGGCGGGTGCCCGAGCGCACCTTGCAGGGCACCGCCGCCCTCGGTGGATGGCCTGCGGGGCCACTGGTCCGAAGGCGAGACTGGCAGTCCTTTTGGCTCAAACATTCAAAGGATGTAAAGGATCCATTGTCCTCCTTCTCAAATGGTTTGGATGGTCCAAAAGTCGTACCTTTTAACATGTTGTTGGATCCTTTTTCCATACAGTAAATGTTCAGGGAGTTCCTTTTGAAGATCATGCGGATGAACTACGAGCTAGAATCTCCAAGTCAAGAAAGTGGTGAATGCACTCTCCAGCAAACAGGGGGGCTGCAGAATATGGGTTTTGGAGAGAGTGGAGACTTCCAAATCACAACCACTGAGATCCCCCCCAAGGTTCTGAGACGTCAGCGAGGAAGGTTCACAGAACCGAAGATACCGTGAACTGAGCACCAGCGGATATGCTAGATAAGACTTTCATGCTATTTTAGCATGCTGCACGGCTGCATGCAAAAGATCAACTAAAATGCCCCGGAGCACTCCCGCTGGATGTCGAGAGTAGTTGAATACAGAACATGTATGGACATGTAAGATAGAGTTTAAGTCACAAATCACTGCACTGTGGTGTTTTGGAACATGTTGCAAGTTCATCAGTTTCGGGGATCATGAAGCCGCAAGCCTGCCCATTTCTTGGCCTTTTGAATCTCTGAGGTATGTGGCTATGGAAATGTTTCATCACAAGACAAAGTTGCTTGTCAAGTTAAATGCCATTATTTTAACAATTTTCCATGCAAACAGTTTTGTTATTTGTGTTGCGCGGAGCATGTGTGCTGAATTGCTTTGTTTGGAGCCCTGCAGCCACTTAGGAAGCAAAGTTTCCGCACGCTGCTGAGACACCATGTTGGTATTGACAGATGCACGGAAATATTTGTTTGACTATTTACTTACAGTAAACCGATCCATGATGAGTTTGTTCTATCCTTGAGCCAGCTTGTTTTGTCACTCATGTGTTTGAATGTAACAGAGAAAGCCTCTTCTTAGCTTACTACTAGGAGCAAGAAGCTAGTAGGGACTCCTGGCATCGCTACTAGGAGCAAGGACGCTACCAGGGCCTCCTGGCCATACTACTAGGAGCAAGGTTCGCTACTAGGAACAAAGGGCATCACTACGAACGGAGCCGCGCTTCAGGTGTGGGCTACCATGCAGCCACCGCCGCCAATGTGGGCCTCGCATCCTATGGCCTGTCCGCTCTTGGACAAACCCAACCTGCCCGTGCACACGGACGAAGAAAACGTCGTTGATGAGGGAGCAATAAGTGGATGAGAAGCGGGAAAGATTGAGGCCTTGCCTGAACGGAGTCAATTATTCCAGAAGTGACACGGCAACTGCTATCAAGTCCAGCAAGGCTTCAAAGGCTTTGACTTTTTTGAACATTTGAAGTATTCCAGTGGCCGGTTTTCAGCCATCATTGAGCTGTGTACTACCGCATGCACAGCGGATATGGACTTCCAAACGGGAGTTCAGACGACTCGGTTGCCACAGCCTGCTGGGCAGAGCGATCCAAAGCTGTTCGGAAGTTGGGTGCGAAGCTACTGATTCACTTTGAGGTTTTGGGTTATTCTTAATGTTTCTTAGCTGTTCCGCTTGTTTACAAGTTGTTGCAAGAACGTGCAGTTCGAACTAACTATCAGACCCGGAGAAACGATCTCCAACTAGCCCATTTCTCGCCCTTCTCGCAGGCCGAGCGTTCTGGTACTGCGCTCGGCCTTGGGAGCACCGCTCGTGTAGGGGTCTTGATGGGGGTTGATGGTCGTTTTGGTCGTTTGGGTCGTCGCCCTGATGCAAGTCGCACCTGATGGGTTGTCGGGTTTGTCCGAGTGAGTGAGTGAGTGAAATATGTCGATGCCGGAAAGACATCCGCGGGCAAACGGAAAGAGCACATTGTGTCAGATTGACAGCTGACTTAAAACGATTGAAACAGGAAAATGGTTTGCGAGTGTTGGGTCTTTTGGGGGGAATGTATAATTACATCGTAGACATATTTCTCAAACAAATTGTTCTACAAGTTCAAGCATAGTGAGATTTTCTTCAAGCCGAATGGCGAGGCCCAAAACTGGTGCTGAGTGTGGTGAGGCCGACGATATCTTCAATTGTGATGGGGACGGACTCCATGAACTTGAACTTGTATTAGTTGTGGCCTGGGAGCTGACGACCTGCAGTAAGTGTGTTCCAGCTGTGACTTACTTCAGTCACAAGTTGAATGCTTTGGAAAGGTCCTTCTCGAGGTCTTCAGCAGTGGCCCAGAGGGATTTCCGGTGCCTCTTGGTTGCTCCTGGGACTTCATGACATCCACAGGCACGCCCTGCAAATCTGAAAGTATCCAGCAGATCTTGTGATATGCAATTTAGGAAAATCCCTGTATCAAAATCCATAGGCTAGGCCATATATAATCTTAATCTTTGCACCATTTATTTCATTGTGTTCTTAAGGACATCCTATCATTAATAAACAACTCAATGCATGATGGTGATTTGCTGCACAAGCATCGCACCAACTGTGTTTGCCCCCGTGATTCGTTGCACACCAGTGCAGGAGATGTGTTGAATATCAGCTTTGGACATGGTGGCCTTCCAACACTGCACGCGGGATATTGGTATGCCATCGTGCTTAATGCTGAGCTCACGGGACTGGAGGCCAAACCAAAGTGCATGATCAGGAACTCACAAGTTCTCCTTCATGTGACCTCAGTTGTTTGGATGCAAGCTCCCAAGTCCAGACCCAGCCCACAATCCAAATCCGCCTTGATCTCACATCAGCCATCAGCCATGAGATCCCAAGATATAATGCGAGTCTGCGGCTTTTGCGCAGTTTGGTTTACTGGAAAGCGGTCTGCATTGGTTCGCCGTAGGCTTCAACTTCCTCAGCCTTGGGGTTTGTGCTGGCCTGTGGCCAAGAGGCCCTGGAATCCTCTGCCTTGTCGCTGAAGGCACCTGCGAAGCCTGGGAGCCTTGATTTTCGGTGCTTCGTGGTGGAGACGCATTGGGACTGTTGGGAGGTGTGGGTCAACTCTGGGTGATGTTCAGTTGACGATGCTGTTATGATCTGTTATGATCAACAGATGGTATTGGCGACTCTGTTGGAGTGCCGGGGTCATTTGACTGACTGCCGTGTCACAAGAGATACTGTAGATGCAGAATGAGGAAGATTATCATCCTTCCCATATCAAGGCTTCCTGAAATTTAGATTGTATACACGGTATACACGCAAGGTGGATGACGAATCCGACGGACTCTTTTGAAACTTACATTATAACTTGTAGCCAGGTGTTTCAATGGTTAGCACAGATGGATTACCCATGGCTACTCGTTCCTTATTCAAATACCTTCCGAGCAGGAACGTCCAAAGTAAACCTGAAGGATGTCTTCAACATTCATGCTTCCGCTACTGTATCCCTCCGGTTTGGTTAAATACTTCATGGCGCCAGCTCTTTAACAATTGTCAGAGGTCTCTTTCGGACGATTTGTTTCGGCTACGGCGTGGCCAGGAGCCGGATGGGTCGAACTTGCAGCTCCGCAGTGGTTCTGCTGCCACGCTGGACCGGAATGCGGAGCGATGTTCGCCATGTCCATTCGGACCTTGCTCTGGTCCAGTTGGAAGATGGAAGTGTTTGATATTGACATATATTGACATTGACCTTTCTAGAGCTTTCTCTCGTTTCAAAAGAATGTTTTCATATGTTTTCTATATAGAATCCTTTGGGATTGGAAAGATCAAGGCGTTCCGAAAGCACCCTGAAAAGCTGTTAAGCAGTCATTCCTGGCAAGAGCATGGGCAAGCACCAGGATGTGATGTGCTCATTGAAATAACCTGCCAAAAGGCGGACATGATCTGCGAAAACATAACCTCAAAATGGCTCATTGGCACAAGAAGCTATGCTATGCGGTACGAAGAAGAACCGCGTGTGTGTGGAGACATGAAATGATGTGTGCACAAGTCTGCAGGTGGCTCAATAGTTCAGCAATGCACAAAATTGAAAGTGACCACATAGCCCGACAAAAAGAAGACACTCACATCGCCTTGTTCGTACGAATCTTGTCTTGAACTTCCAGAACTATCCAGACACTCCTGCCCTCGCGTGTTTTCGAGCAGAGAGAGCCATGTCCGAGGAGGAGATCGAGGGAAACACGGAGGGAAACACGGTGAAGCTTCCACAGTCAGAGGCAATCATGGAAGCCATCATTCGTTCTTCAAAGCCTTTGCCGATAGGCCCTCCGGAGGACAAGGAATTGTTTGACTGGAAGCGCCTTGACAGGATCTTGTTGCAACTCTCTGATCCCTTGGTGCCATGGCAAAGGTCTCGCTGGCTTTTGCTTGTCGCTTTAGAGCTGATCTTTGCTTGGCGGATCTTTTCTCTTGAGCGTCACTACTTCGCGGCCTATATGTTGGCCATCTACATCCTGAACCAGGTTCTTCTGTTTTTGTCACCTTCGACGGATGACGATGAATTTTCCCGACACACTAGCAGCGAGTATCGGCCTTTTGTGCGTGCGCTCTCAGAGTTTCGGCTCTGGTGTCGAGGGACTGTGGCCACTCTGGCAGCCTTTCTCGTCACGTTTGTCGATGACCTAGACATGGATGTTGATGGCGGCGCATTGTTGGTCTACTTTGTGCTGCTTTTCATATACACCATGAAGCAGCAGATCATGCACATGATCCAATATGGCTATGTGCCCTGGAATAAGCCGAAGAAGCGGGTGCCAAAAGAGGAGCTTTGGATGTGTAAGCTGAAGACTTCAGTGGAGAAAAACATGTGTGCACACCAGTTTCAAGCTTTGCCGTGATCGTCGCTGCTCTTGCGACCCCAGCCGCCACCCCAGAGCCAAGACCATAGTGGGCGATGCTTCAGAAAAAGTGCAATCGCAGAGCGAGACAGAGAATTCTATCGGAATCACAATTACTATAGCCAGTATAGCTCTCCAAAAGAGATCATAGAGGTGAGCTCCACCCAAAGTTATCTATCACATTCCATGACAAAAATAGATTCCCTGAGTGCCTTTCCGGCCGCGGTTTTGGTCGCAGGAGCTTGCCACAACTCCCAGTCTTCAGTTGAAGCTCATGGGCCTGTCACTGGGAGCACAACGTTTGCGCAGCTCGGCTGTCAGCGTTGAGGGCACCGCAATGGACCGTCCGGGAGGACACCGCAACGGACAACGTATTGATGTATTGTTCGCAACTTCAGACCCAAGGCGCTCATTGCGGTCTTCAAGATATTGCTCTCAACCTTCTGAGAGTTGGGTTCCAATGGGTTTCAGGTATTCAGGGTTTGCTGTCAGTCTTCTGAGAGCGCGCCCTGAGGCCTGCTCTTCTTGCCTGCCTTTGGTCCTGTGGAATGGGCTTCTCCTGGGCAGTCAGCCACCGTTTCGGCCACATATTGGACCAATGGTCCGGGTAGCGGAGCGCCGGCAGGAACTAGCAGCCTCCCAGGCGTGGGTGTGTTGAGATGTGAGGATCTAAGACAACTAAAAGGCATTGTCAATATTGGTCGACTGTCGAAGATTTGACCAGGTGTGGCCCGACCAATGATGTCAATGTCCTCTGCAACGCTTTTGGATCTGTCGCTGCCGGCAGGGTGGTCTCAGCAACTTGTCTCGGTGAAGGAAATCACAAATCCCCGTTTGTTACCGCAAGATTTTTTCCTGTAGGTGTACCCTCTTTTATAAAAATTTGTGGTGCTGTTTCTCGAGCAGTGGCAACCGCTTTAATTAGGAAAATATAACCCATGCATCCTTGATTCATAAGATTCGCACAGGGTTTCACAAGCTCACACGACATAGGATTCTATAAGGATTTCAGTCTGTCTCAGTTCTGTGATTTCCCACTACGTGAAAGTGCACAGTGGTCATTACTCTAGAATCCACCAGAAAACAATGGTTTGTCATGTTCGAAGAGTCAGTTGCGAAATTGCAAAAGAAAGAAAGAAAGAAGAAAGAGCACTCTTGATTGCCCTTGAACTCAGGAAAATATAAGGAAACCAAGTTGTGTTGAAGAAATGCCCTAGGGCCCTAGGGAAATAATTGGGTTGATTCCATCCATGATGGTTATTGTCACACAGGAACATATAAAAAATCTTGTTTCATGACTCTGGAGGTCGAGGTAGGTATGTTCTTA